ATGTATTGTGTAAATTGAGGGAGGCCTGTGTGTTTCCTTAAATTTTAAAAACACATACATATAAATTTACTATTGAGTAGTAGTTACTCACTTGTTTTTTTTATACATTATTATTATTATTATACTCTATACAGAACATAACTTTCAGCACATTATCCCAGTATTCTTGTTGCAGTTTAAACAAACATTAATTTTACTAATACAGACTTCCTTGTATTGCTCATTAATGTAACTTGCCTTATTTTTCTCACTGATTGTAAATTTCCTTATGCTTTAATCACCTGTACCCTTAATACCTTCTTAATGCTTCATTTGGATGCTAAGTAGCTGCTCACTGTATTTGTTAAAAATATTTTACATTCTGCTCATTAAGCCTATAAAATGATTTCCTAAAGGGAGTGCTGTGTAATTACAATCCAAAAACTCATTATGAATATTTTTGTTATACCTTTCTCCTAATGGAAATATTCAAGTTAATTTAGAGCCTTAATAATTTTCTTCTCTAAACTTTTTTTTTTCATTTATTTTTATTAGTTGGAGGCTAATTACTTGACAATATTGTAGTGGTTTTTGTCATACATTGACATGAATCAGCCATGGATTTACATGTATTCCCCATCTCGATCCCCCCTCCCACCTCCCTCTCCACCCGATCCCTTTGGGTCTTCCCAGTGCACCAGCCTCCAGCACTTGTCTCATGCATCCCCCCTGGGCTGGTGATCTGTTTCACCCTAGATAATATACATGTTTCAATGATGTTCTCTTGAAACATCCCACACTCGCCTTCTCCCACAGGGTCCAAAAGTCTGTTCTGTACATCTGTGTCTCTTTTTCTGCTTTGCATATAGGGTTATTGTTACCATCTTTTTAAATTCCATATATATGTGTTAGTATACTGTATTGGTCTTTATCTTTCTGGCTTACTTCACTCTGTATAATGGGCTCCAGTTTCATCCATCTCATTAGAACTGATTCAAATGAATTCTTTTTAATGGCTGAGTAATATTCCATGGTGTATATATCACTGTTTTGATGTTTAGATACCGTATTAAAGTGCACACATATTCTTATTTTCTTAAAAATGTAAGTCCATTTTTAACTTACAATGTTTTAGCACCTTTTTACTGTCAATTCTGATTCCTTATAGCATACGTAGGAAACATACGTTTATTTTCAAGTTTAACTTACATAAGAGGAACTTAGGAAAGGTAGTCCTAGTTCTGTGGCAAAAATAGCTGATAATGGTACCCACCTTTATGCCCTTTTCCCTTTTCTCCAAACTCAGATATTCAAAATGCCTCCTATTATTCCACACCAAGTTCCCAGAATTTATTGTTAATTGTCATATAATAATTCAGCATTTAACAATTGACAGGACATCCTAAAGCAGAGAAAGTAAAAAAAAAAACAAATGGGACCTAATTAAACCTAAACGTTTAAGTTAATTAAACTTGCTTGCACAGCATAGCAAACCATCAACAAAACAAAAAGACAACCTACTGAATGGGAGAAAATATTTGCAAATGATTTGACCCATGAGGGGTTAATATCCAACATATATAAAGAGCTTGTACAACTCAACATCAAAAAACAAATGAGCATCCCAGTCAAAAAAGGCAGAACTGAATAGACATTCTTCCAATCAGGAAAGGCAAATGACCAACAGGCACATGAAAAAATGATCAGCACTGCTAACCATCAGGGAAACGCAAACCAAAACCACAATGAGGTATCACCTCACACCTGTCAGAATGGCTGTCATCAAAATGAACACACGTAATAAATGTTGGCCAGGATGTGGAGAAAAGAGAACCCTTCTATACTCGGTGGGAATGTAAATTGGTACAGTGGAGACTTCTCGGAAAACTACAACTACCACCTGGCCTAGAAATTCCTCCCCTGGGTATATATTCAAAAAGAAAAAAAACCCACTAATTTGAAAAGATACACCCCAATGTTCATAGCATTATTTATAATTGTCAAGGTATGGAGACAGCCTAAGTGTCCATCAACAGATGAATGGATAAAGAAGATGGGCCATAAGTGTGTATATATATATATATACACACACACACATACACCACAGAGTATTGTTGTTGTTTAGTTGCTAAGTCATGTCTGACTCTTAGTTGCTAAGTCACATTTGACCCCATGGATTGTAGGACACCAGGCTCCTCTGTCCATGGGATTTCCCAGGCAAGAATACTGGAGTGGGTTGCCATTTCCTTCTCTAAGGCATCTTCCCAAACCTAGGGATTGAACCCACATCTCCTGCATTGGCAGGTAGATTGTTTACCACTTAGCCACCTGGGAAGCCCATACAGTGGAATACTACTCAGCTAGAAAAAAGAAGGAAATTTTGCCATTTGCAACAACATGGATAGACATAGGGCAATATGCTAAGTAGAGTAAGTCAGAGAAAGACAAATACTGTATGCTATCACTTACATGTAGAATCTAAAAAATACAGCAAACTAGTGAATAACATAAAAAAGAAGCAGACTCATAGATATAGAGAAAAAACTACTGGTTACCACTGTGGAGAGGAAAAGAGGGAGGGGCAATATAGAAGTAGGGTTAAAAAAAAGGTTGTTATGGGATTGTATTAAATCATGTGTGTAAAACTTTTGCAAATATAGAACACTATAGAATTTAAAGAATCTAGTCAATTAAAAAAACACAAGAAATTTAAAAAAAAATTATTGACAGGACATAACAATCACAGTAGAGATGTGGGACTCAGACCCATTGTTTTGATCTAACATTCTAATGGAGCTAAGCTTTCTTATCATATCCAAGATTGAAAGATTTTCAAAGACTGATACTTTCATTCATTTGGTAATTTTTTTCATAGAACCCGTACTTCCATATATCTCTAATTTTAAAACTTGTAAAATATTTAAAATGAGGAGTTGCACAAATGTGTTACTTTCAATTTTATTTAAATCAAATAAAGCTGCCATTGATGTGCATAAATTGGCATAGAAACTACATGAGTTTAATTCATATAAAAATTGAAAGACAAAATCCTATTACCTAATTGTCTTATCCTGAATAATTAAATGCAAAGGATATACATGTTAAAATGGTGACAGTGCACATAATGGAGTCATAAAACATTTTATACTGCTTTATTATAAATAATTGGAAATATTTCATTTTTTAAACCCGGATAACAAAACAGTAAATATCATGCTTTTCCCCATTATTTCCTTTTATTTTTTGTATTATAAGTTGGAAAATAGTATTACTTTTCAAAAGAATGGTAAGTAAAAAATCTTTAGGAACACAAAAAACAAAACATTCACTTTCATTCACTTAAATGAAAACATCAAGGAGGTTTTCAGAGGAAGCAGCTAACCAGTGTTATGAAAGAGTCGACAAGAATAGAAAAACTGTGGAATACCTGCAAACAATTTTAAGGCAGAGCAGGTTTGAATATACACGTAAAAGTATAAACATTTGATGGTAAACTTTGAAAAAGTAATTTCTGAAAAATGTGAGTAGCTTTATTCTCTCAAATGGAGGAAACCCATAAAGGCACAAGGGATCAAGTCACCAGGCCTAAAACTGGTCTCAGTGCCCGATAAAAACTTTTTCTTTTTTTAAGAAAGGAAACTCAAAGTGGATTTCAATTTTCTTATATCAGAGTATACCTTATGTTTTGGTAAAAACTGTCCACACTTGTAATCTTGAGCACTTAGAGGCAGAAAGCACTTCTTGACAAAATACTATAGTAACTTCAAATTGCCACAAATATCTGTGTCCAAAACTGACTTAAAATCAGTTAAGCCATAGAAATATTTTCATTGTGATTTACAGTAACTAGTAATTAGAATTTTCTTAGTCAAGTGACTATGATTAAGTTTCTCTTTTGTTCATGTGTTTTCTTTAACATATAATACAAAGTTTGCCAATATTTTTCCTGTAATGGTAATGTCTTAAAATCAGAAATTGCCTAAGAAAACAGAGCCCAAGGTAGAAAAATATGAAGATATAGTACATTTCATAAAGTGGTATAGTAGTTTTTTTGAAAATGTGCTTCTTTGCATCAATTGAGGGCAATGTTGCATATTCCAGATTAAACAGCTATTAGGTTTACTGTAGATATAAACATGCTATGTACAATTTTTCATAGACTTCAAAGTGTATCTTTTATAGAAACTGGAACAGAGTGAATCTGGAAAGCAAGTTTCAATTAATTAGTAAAAATTAAATTAGCATGAAATAACAGGGTGAAGAATTGAAGATAATTATTTTCAAAATGATAAAGTTACACTTAAGTGGACACATGCAAGAAGATACTGTAAAATGACCTGTTCCAGTTTACTTGGTTTTATTTCAACTTATTACACTCTAAAATACTGCTTTCATGTATAATATCAAAGGAAATATTAAATGCATGTATATTATTTTAAGGGCTTGATGATATATTTCACATTCTTTAAACTTTACTCAGGCTATAAATATATTTATATATCAGTCAGTTTTTAAAATGAATGAAAACTGTAGCACGGGGGAAGGATAAATTTTCATCTCATATGTCCAATAGTTGATTATGTCCATTTTTTCTGAAAACTGTTATCAAAAAACCAAAGAATAACGGAGTGTGTTTCTACTTCACACTGCTATTCTTCATGCACTACAGTTCTTTATAGTTTACCAAAATGGAATTTACATTTGAAGATGGGTTAACTGACATCAACTAGCAAGTATGATTTAGGAATTAGAATTCTGAAATTCATTTCACTAACTCAGAGGGCAAGGCTGTTCTTCCTGAACTTTTATTTAAATTGTGCAACAGTACAAACTTATTAGGTTTGCATAGAAATAACACCATTTCCCTGGTGTAATACATCTTTTCCAAAGGATTATGGTAAGCCAGTTTTTATTCTTCATGTATACTCTTTTTGTTCTTGTTGTTCATTTTCTTCTTCTCTCTCTCTCTTTTCTTTTTCTTTTTTTGGTTTTACATGAAATAAACCATATTTATCATCTGGCTACCATAGTTCCAAAATAAGATCCAGTAGTAGTTTGAAGCACAGTGAGCCTAAAAGTTTCTTCCCTTTTAAAAGCTTGACAGTGAATGGCAGTCTATAGTCAAGCCATATGAACACAATCATCCCAAGTAGAGACTCTGTGAACTCAAAAGGTTCTAAATTCATAGTCAAGGACCTGGGTGACTTCACATAACTGCTACTTGTTGCCAGAAGGGAGACCATACTGTTTGCTTCAGAAGTTTTCAAGCAGTTTCTCATCTGGTGGCTTCTCCAGATTTCTTGGTGGCTTTTAAAATTGCTCTGGACTGACATTATGCCTTCAAAAGTCCAAAGGTCGAATCATCATAGTTGTGGAACGTAAGGAGTAACTGGGCCCTTTGAAATAATGCCATTTTATTCCATTCAGTTTTCCATGGTTCTGTCCCGCTGTATAAAACATTCCATTTAGATTGGATGGGCCACAGGCATCAAACCACCAGCCTGAAAAAGTAGTTAATAATGAAAGAGAAGGAGAAGAAACAATTATATAAGTAAATTGAACATTTGGAAATTCATGCCACTTACTGTGGGGAAACATTCATACTTATGATTATTTGCAAATCAGAGGTATTCAAAAAATATCTTCCTGGTAGTGAAATTGTTTTAAATAGCATCCAAAAGACAGTGTACAATCAGAAAGAGGAATGCTCTCATGAAAATCAGGCTTCAGTGTCACTCCATTGGGACTCATTTCCCAATGTAATGATGGGAAGCATTTGGGTTTCAAGATACGATCTAGTCAGGCTTGGATTTGTACAAAGGGTAAGTAAAACGAAACCCTTCAGAGGCATTCCACCTGAAGCCTGTTATTGGAAATAGAACAATTAATTATTAGCAATGAAGTTCAGAGGTTTGGACAGCTAACATCCAAACAGAAAGAAATGTCCTCCATGTAGTTCATAGTTTTGCCTGCTGGCCCTTAGCTGCTTCTGAAATTAACTGGATACCAGAAAATGACTATGAATTTGGATGGCTCTAACTTCTCTGCAGTTTATAGCAATATGGGAAGCATTCATTGAGAGTAACCACATAGTTCCTATATAGCAGCATGTTTTCCTGTGATTGTCAAAGTTCTTTCTAAACTTAGTAAAAAGAAAAATGATGAGTAACATATAGATCCTGTGCTCACAAAGCTCTCTGCAAGGATAACTCAGTATTTTATTTTTTAAATGAATTAAGTTCTTAGCTTTTAGATAGAACATAGTACTTTCCCCCCTCTCTCCTGAAGTAATACTACTAAAATCTTTAGGGAGAGATTTATGCCAGAGACATTCTGGCATATTTGTATTTGGATACAGTTGACCTCCCTTTGATTACAGAGTGATACCTAAGGGACTAATAGCTAAAGAAAGAGAAAGCTATACAGCCGATGTTTAACTGTAACATGAGCATCATCTTGCAGAAACTTTAGAAAAAGTTAAATGGAGAAAAACTAGTTCTCATTTTTCAATTTTGGAGGGTGAATACAGCTGGGTTGTGTTTATAAAGTCATACTAGAGGCCTAACAAGCTATATTAATCACTAACTCATACTAGGAAAAAGTAAGGTATGTCAATGAATTTGGAAAGACACTGTATTGAATGTTTTAGCAACTGTATGCAAACAACATAGATGTTAATGTAGTCAAGACGCGGGGGACAAGAAAGTTCTTATTTGGCAAGCAAGGAGGAAACTGTAAAATTCCACCTTCTTCTTAAGATTAACTCCTTTAAAATTTTTTGGTAAGTACAACTAGTAAAAATATGCTATTTATATTTTAAAAAAAAGGCGTTCTAATATTAGGGAATTTATTTACCCATAATACTCTTAAAGGACAAACTGAAAGTCAAGTTGATTGCTTCAGTATTTTAACTTTCTCCTCCTTTTCTATGACCTTCTTGAGGCATTCTTCCATCATGTTAATGAGCCTTTCATAGTCTTTCAAACATCCACCATGGTCTCTAAAGCAAGCACAGTTATTCTATTGTTGAGGACTACTACAAATCACAGAAGGATCCTCCAAGTTACACTAAGATACTCAGGGCAGAAGTGTGTGGATTTGTTTGGTTTACAGAAAGTCTTAAGAGTTCTGGAAGAGTGTGGGAAGGCAGACGTCTGTTGGAACACAGCCTGGAATGAAGGGCACAGGCTGAAGAATATATTCATTGGGAAACTACAGTGAACTTCGGAAGGAGACAAGAAAGTAGGGGCACATGAGGGAATAGGATAAACTGATCTTATGTATCTTTCCTAACAAGTAAAGTGGGGAAATGTTCCGAGTAAGAAGAAAGGCATTTTGGAGACACTGAAAGGAGACCAGTATGAATAGGTCAAAGTCAACAAAAGCAACAGTAGCCTGAATCTGAGAGGGTCTGAAGATCAAATCACATAGTCTTTTCTTCATTATCCCTGGTTGCTCAGTGGTAAAGAATCGGCCTGCAATGCAGGAGACGTGGGTTTGATGCCTGGTTAGGGAAGATCCTCTGGAGAAGGAAATGGCAACCTACTCCAGTATTCTTGCCTAGGAAATCCCCTGGACAGAGGAGTCTGGCAGGCTACAGTCCATGGGGTTGCAAAAGAGTCAGACATGACTTAGCAATTAAACAACAGCAACGACAAATGAAAAGGCATGGTTTATATTCCATATTTTTAGTGCCACACCTAACAGAGTTGGCTTAGCAGATGACTCGCAAGGGCCTACAGACTTATTGACAGATTGTTTCTTCTTTTAAAGCCTCTATAGTCTGAATTAGTCTAGTTTATTTTTTTTAAAAAGCTATATTTGATAGATACCTGTATATATAACATCCGAGTTTATTGCATTCATTTTTTCTTTCTTTATTCATTCAATTTGTAATCCTCATGAAGTGTTGTCATACAACACTCAACAAGACAGAGAACTCTTATGGAGCTTACTCCTAATGTGACAAACAGGCAAAAAAAAAGTAGCAAATAAATAAAATACCTACAAATCATTAGGAAATGATGATGGAAAAAGGAAGAAGAAGAGGATGAGGGGAGGAGGTAACAGAGAAGAGGAGGGGAGAGTTAGAATCAGGGTGCAATGAAGGAGAATAATAGGAGCCCTATTTGCCTTTTCATGTTCATGGAAGAAGTTGATATTTAATGAAACTTGACAGATGAGAAGATGGCAATGTGAAGATGGGGAAAGACTCTATTAAGCAAAGCATAGCACATGCCAATGTCATGAAGCTGAAAGAGAGTTTGGTGTTTAGGGACTAAAAGAACATCAGTGTAGTTGGTATACAGTGGTCAAGAGAAAGACTTGCAGGAAATGAAGGTGGAAAAATGGCAATCTTGGTGGAAATTCAAACAATGTGGAAACTCTTATAGTTTATCCAGTCTACTTGTCTATCAGGTGAACAAGTAGAACATTCTCTAGGAATGGGAACCAATATTTTACCAGGGGAACCAGATCTGCCAGGTTAAATGTTTAATTAAATATTATTTAGAGCCCTTGTTCTATAACTGTGGTCTACCAAAGCCACCCTGAGCATATGTGGCAGCATGATGAAGGGGAGGAAATTGAATTTAGAATCAGTCCAACAAATACTAACCAATGGACAGATATAGGGGTCAGAGTTGAGTAAAACAAAATTCCTGACTTCAAGGAGTATACAATTTTGTGTAGGAGAGAAACAAACTGTTAAATGACAAGACAGCTATTTAACAGAGATGAAGAAAATCTTGGGAACAGAGGCAGAATGTCCTGTTAGTGGATCTGTAAGGTTCACTCATCACTTGATCTGGATCCTGAAGGACGGGAGGGAGTTCACAGGATAGAAAGAGATTATCTAAAGACAGTACGTGCTCTGGCAGAGCAGAAGAGAGTGCCTGCCAGCAGCTTGGCTTGGCTGCAATGCCAGTGGGTAAGGGGTTGGAGAACACAGGGCTGGCAAAATAAGCAAGAGCAAGAACATGGAGGTTTTTATTATATGTTTAAAAATGCTCTGGTGGGCAATGGGGAACCTAGAGCACCAGGCCAGAAATTAGAAGATCCTGACTTTGATGCTGACTTCACCATGTAATAGCTAAGGGACCTTAGGCAATAGTATATGTATCAATTGATATTTACTGAACAGTTAATATGTATTGGGACTCTGCTAAAATATTTATATGCATTTTCTCAGTTTATCCCCCACACAACCCTATGTGGTGTGGCAAGTACTAAAATGAAGACTCTGATGCTCAGACAATTTAAGGAACTTTTCCAATGTCACACAGTCACTTACCTCCTCATTCCTAGGATGTAGATCATAGATATCTAATCAACCATTTTCACAGCACAGGGTGCAGAGATCATATAAGATGGCACACTATTAAAGCTTCTAAAAGCCTACCTAAATGTTCTTGTGTAAGTTATCTAGGAAGCAGGCAGCAACTTTAGAGCAGGAATAAAAAGAATCAGATCTTATGGGATCATCACAATCATTTAATAATGAAGACCAAGTCATCAGTGCCACCATATTTACTTATTTGCTTCGTAGGGTTAATTAGAGAAATATGAAAATAATTTGGATTCAAATGAGTACAGTTCAGTGTTCGTGTTGTAAAGACATGGCACTTAAGTACCTAATATGGGTTTTATGGGCTTACCTAGGGTTTAGGAGGTAAAGAATCTGCATGTAATGGAGAGGCAGACATAGAGGAGAGACGTGTGGACACAGTGGGGGAAGGAGAATTTAGAGAATAGTTTGGAAACATATACAGTACAATATGTAAAATAGATAGCAAATGGGAATTTGCTCTGTGACAAAGGGAGCTCAACCCAGTGCTCTGGGACCACCTAGAGGGGTGGGGTGGGATGGAGCGGGAGATGGAAGCCGGGTTCAGGAGGGAGGGGACATTTGTATACCTATGGCTGATTCATGTTGTTATATGGCAGAAACCAACACAATACTGTAAAGCAATTATCCTCCAATTAAAAAAAAAAAGAGATGGCAGAAAATAAAATGAAAGGGCAATTATTACTCATGACAATTTCAGTTGTAGTGTCCTTTATAAAATACTCTGAACTTCAAGTTAGCAAAAATAGTTATCTCTATGCAAGTATTTTCTGTTTTTTCTGACAAGGAACAACAAGGAATTTCTTTGTATCAAGTATTTAAGTTTGTCCACTTTCTACCTCTCTTTGAAAAAATTAAGCATGACCCAGTCATTAAACATAAATCCTGAAAAGAAGTGGCTTTAAAGCATATTCATAGAAAACAGGCAAAAAGTACAGCAGGCTCCTGGTTACTTCTGGTTAATCTCCTTTGGCATTCATAGATAACCATATGTACTCAAAGGGTCCTCAGAAACAATGTAAGTTTACATAATTTGACGGTATCCTTGTGAACATATAAAGGAGTATGCCTGGGTTTGCAGTTCTCCAATTAGATATCAAATAGCTGAATTAACTATCTTCTAAAATTCTGGGGCAATATCAACTTTGTACTTTG